TTGGCCACTAGCGGCGAAAATAGCCCGATTTTTTGCCGCTAGCGGCGAAAATCGCGCGATTTTGGCCGCTGACGGCCAAAAATCTGGCTATTTTTGCCGCTAGCGGCGAAAATTGCGCGGTTTTTGGCCGGTAGCGGCGAATTTCGCACGATTTTTGGCCGCTAGCGGCGAAATTCGGACAATTTTTGGCCGCTAGCGGCGAAATTCGCACGATTTTTGGCCGCTAGCGGCAAAAATAGCCCGCTAGCGGCGAATTGCGCGGTTTTTGGCCAATAGCGGCGAAAATTGCGCGATTTTTGGCCGCTAGCGGCGAAAATCGCGCGATTTTGGCCGGTAGCGGCGAAATTCGCACGATTTTTGGCCGCTAGCGGCGAAATTCGCACGATTTTTGGCCGCTAGCAGCGAAATTCGCACGATTTTTGGCCGCTAGGGGCGAAAATCGTCGATTTTTGGCCGCAAGCGGCAAAAATAGCCCGATTTTTTGCCGCTAGCGGCGAAAATTGCGCGGTTTTTGGCCGCTAGCAGCGAAATTCGCACGATTTTTGGCCGCTAGGGGCGAAAATCGTCGATTTTTGGCCGCAAGCGGCAAAAATAGCCCGATTTTTTGCCGCTAGCGGCGAAAATTGCGCGATTTTGGCCGCTAGCGGCCAAAAATCGGGCTATTTTTACCGCTAGCGGCGAAAATTGCGCGGTTTTTGGCCACTAGCGGCAAAATTCGCACGATTTTTGGCCGCTTGCAGCGAAATTCGCACGATTTTTGGCCGCTAGCGGCGAAAATCGCGCGATTTTTGGCCGGTAGCGGCGAAAATCGCCCCATTTTTAGCCGCTAGCGGCGAAAATAGCCCCTTTTTTGGCCGCTAGCGGTGAAAATAGGTCGATTTTTGGTAGGTAGCGGCCAAATTTGCATGGTTTTTGGCCGCTAGCGGCGAAAATCGCGCGGTTTTTTGCCGGTAGCGGCCAAAATCGCGCTACTTTTGCCCGCCAGCTGCATAAATCGCATAGTTTCTGGCCGCTAGTGGCGAAAATCGCACGATTTTTGGCCGCTAGCGGCGAAATTCGCACGATTTTTGGCCGCTAGCGGCGAAATTTGCACGATTTTTGGCCGCTAGCGGCGAAAATCGCACGGTTTTTGGCCGCAGGCGGCGAAAATCGCGCTATTTTTGGCCGGTAGCGGCGAAAATCGCGATTTTTGCCCGCCAGCTGCGAAAATCGCATGGTTTTTGGCCGCTAGCAGCGAAAATCGCGCGGTTTTTGGCCGGTAGCGGCGAAAATCGCGCTATTTTTTCCGCCAGCTGCAAAAATCGCATAGTTTCTGGCCGCTAGCGGCGAAAATCGCACGATTTTTGGCCGCTAGCGGCGAAATTCGCACGATTTTTGGCCGCTAGCGGCGAAATTTGCACGATTCTTGGCCGCTTGCGGCGAAAATCGCCACATTTTTGGCCGCTTGCGGCGAAAATAGCCCCTTTTTTGCCGCTAGCGGCGAAAATCGGTCGATTTTTGGCAGGTAGCGGCGAAATTCGCGCAATTTTTGTCCGCCAACTACAAAAATCGCATGGTTTCTGGCCGCTAGCGTAGAAAATAGCGCGGTTTTCGGCCGTTAGCAGTAAAAATCGCCTGATTTTTGGCCGCTAGCTGCGAAAATCGCGATTTTTGCCCGCCAGCTGCGAAAATCGCATGGTTTTTGGCCGCTAGCGGCGAAAGTCGCATAGTTTTTGGCCGGTAGCGGCAAAAATCGCCCGATTTTTGGCCACTAGCGGCGAAAATCGCACGGTTTTTGGCCGCTAGCGGCGAAAATCGCGCGGTTTTTGGCCGGTAGCGGCGAAAATCGCGCTATTTTTCCCCGCCAGCTGCAAAAATCGCATAGTTTCTGGCCGCTAGCGGCGAAAATCGCACGATTTTTGGCCGCTAGCGGCGAAATTCGCACGATTTTTGGCCGCTAGCGGCGAAATTTGCACGATTTTTGGCCGGTAGCGGCGAAAATCGCACGGTTTTTGGCCGCTAGCTGCGAAAATCGCGCTATTTTTGGCCGGTAGCGGCGAAAATCGCGATTTTTGCCCGCCAGCTTTTTTTTTTTTTTTTTTTTTTTTTTGAGATATATACAAGAGTTGTTACATTCATGTACAGCCACTAGTACGCGTAGCGTTTCGGGCAAGTCCTTAATCCTATGGTCCCTGGAATACGATCCCCTGCCGCGAAGAATCGTTTTTTCATCCAAGTACACATTTTACTGTTGCGTTAAACAGAGGCTACAGTTAAGGAATTGCGCCCAGTAAATCCTCCCCGGCCAGGATACGAACCCATGACATAGCGCTCGCGGAACGCCAGGCGAGTGTCTTACCACCACACCACGGAGACTGTAAATCGGAGAGCTGCGAAAATCGCATGGTTTTTGGCCGGTAGCGGCGAAAATCGCGCGGTTTTTGGCCGGTAGCGGCGAAAATCGCGCTATTTTTGCCCACCAGCTGCATAAATCGCATAGTTTCTGGCCGCTAGCGGCGAAAATCGCACGATTTTTGGCCGCTAGCGGCGAAAATCGCCCCTTTTTGGCCGCTAACGGCGAAAATAGCCCCTTTTTTGGCCGCTAGCGGCGAAAATAGCCCCTTTTTTGGCCGCTAGCGGCGAAAATCGGTCCATTTTTGGCAGGTAGCGGCGAAATTCGCGCGATTTTTGCCCGCCAGCTGCAAAAATCGCATGGTTTCTGGCCGCTAGCGTCGAAAATAGCGCGGTTTTCGGCCGTTAGCGGCAAAAATCGCCCGATTTTTGGCCGCTAGCGGCAAAAATCGCACGGTTTTTGGCCGCTAGCGGCGAAAATCGCGCTATTTTTGGCCGGTAGCGGCGAAAATCGCGATTTTCGGCAGGTAGCGGCGAAATTCGTGCGATTTTTGCCCGCCAGCTGCAAAAATCGCATGGTTTCTGGCCGCTAGCGTCGAAAATAGTGCGGTTTTCGGCCGTTAGCGGCAAAAATCGCCTGATTTTTGGCCGCTAGCGGCGAAAATCGCACGGTTTTTGGCCGCTAGCGGCGAAAATCGCGCTATTTTTGGCCGGTAGCGGCGAAAATCGCGATTTTTGGCAGGTAGCGGCGAAATTCGCATGGTTTTTGGCAGCTAGCGGCGAAAATCGCGCGGTTTTTTTCCGGTAGCGGCGAAAATCGCGCTTTTTTTGCCCGCCAGCTGCAAAAATCGCATAGTTTCTGGCCGCTAGCGGCGAAAATCGCACGAATTTTGGCCGCTAGCGGCGAAATTCGCACGACTTTTGGCCGCTAGCGGCGAAATTTGCACGATTTTTGGCCGCTAACGGCGAAAATCGCATGGTTTTTGGCCGCTAGCGGCGAGAATCGCGCTATTTTTGGCCGGTAGCGGCGAAAATCGCGATTTTTGCCCGCCAGCTGCGAAAATTGCATGGTTTTGGCCGCTAGCGGCGAAAATCGCGCGGTGTTTGGCCGGTAGCGGCGAAAATCGCGCTATTTTTGCCCGCCAGCTGCAAAAATCGCATAGTTTCTGGCCGCTAGCGGCGAAAATCGCACGATTTTTGGCCGCTAGCGGCGAAATTCGCACGATTTTTGGCCGCTAGCGGCGAAATTTGCACGATTCTTGGCCGCTTGCGGCGAAAATCGCCCCATTTTTGGCCGCTAGCGGCGAAAATAGCCCCTATTTTTGCCGCTAGCGGCTAAAATCGGTCGAATTTTGGCAGGTAGCGGTGAAATTCGCGCAATTTTTGCCCGCCAGCTGCAAAAATCACATGGTTTCTGGCCGCTAGCGTCGAAAATAGCGCGGTTTTCGGCCGTTAGCAGCAAAAATCGCCCGATTTTTGGCCGCTAGCGGCGAAAATCGCGATTTTTGCCCGCCAGCTGCGAAAATCGCATGGTTTTTGGCCGCTAGCGGCAAAAATCGCCCGATTTTTGGCCGCTAGCGGCGAAAATCGCACGGTTTTTGGCCGCTAGCGGCGAAAATCGCGCTATTTTTGGCCGGTAGCGGCGAAAATCGCGATTTTTTCCCGGCAGCTGCGAAATTCGCATGGTTTTTGGCCGCTAGCGGCGAAAATCGCGCGGTTTTTGGCCGGTATCGGCGAAAATCACGCTATTTTTGCCCGCCAGCTGCAAAAATCGCATAGTTTCTGGCCGCTAATGGCGAAAATCGCGCGATTTTTGGCAGCTAGCGGCGAAATTCGCACGATTTTTGGCCGCTAGCGGCGAAATTTGCACGATTTTTACATAAGAACATAAGAACATAAGAACAAAGGTAACTGCAGAAGGCCTATTGGCCCATACGAGGCAGCTCCTATTCTATAACCACCCAATCCCACTCATATACTTGTCCAACCCGTGCTTGAAACAATCGAGGGACCCCACCTCCACAATGTTACGCGGCAATTGGTTCCACAAATCAACAACCCTGTTACTGAACCAGTATTTACCCAAGTCTTTCCTAAATCTAAACTTATTTTTGGCCGCTAGCGGCGAAAATCGCCCCATTTTTAGCCGCTAGCGGCGAAAATAGCCCCTTTTTTGGCCTCTAGCGGCGAAAATAGGTCGATTTTTGCCAGGTAGCGGCGAAATTCGCGCGGTTTTTGGCCGCCAGCTGCAAAAATCGCATGGTTTCTGGGCGCTAGCGTCGAAAATAGCGCGGTTTTCGGCCGTTAGCAGCAAAAATCGCACGGTTTTTGGCCGCTAGCGGCGAAAATCGCGCTATTTTTGGCCGGTAGCGGCGAAAATCGCGATTTTTGGCAGGTAGCGGCGAAATTCGCGCGATTTTTGCCCGCCAGCTGCAAAAATCGCATGGTTTCTGGCCGCTAGCGTCGAAAATAGTGCGGTTAGCTGCAAAAATCGCATAGTTTCTGGCCGCTAGCGGCGAAAATCGCACGATTTTTGGCCGCTAGCGGCGAAATTCGCTTAAAACAAAATGGATTGAAAAACAATCCATGAGGAGTCGTGTGGAGAGGGGGGGAGGTGAGTGGCGGCGTTGTTTACATCCGGAGGCGATCCTGGCGTCGGTTTCCTGAACCTGGGCTGACGTCATGGACTGCTGCGACGTCATGGGCTGCCGTGACGTCATGGGAGGACGAGGGCGACGATTACAGAAACGAAGAGTACAGATGAATGTTGTAATGTAGAAAATACTCCATCCAGTGAGCAGTACACTTCAAAAGGCGCTGGAGTTGACACTCGGCGGCGATAACAGTAGCTAGGGAGCACCAACGAAAATCTGGGCGAGTAGACTGCAGCGTCCCTGGACGTTTGAAATTCAAAATGGCTGGGTGATCAAGCAGGTGAAGCTCTTCAAGGTAGCAGACTGCTCTGTGATGCCATTTTTTGCTTCTCCTGTTTCCCCCTGAAAGTAGCACAGAGCTCAGTTTTTTCTTGGCAATATCATTGTAATGGGGATCTCTGGCTATCCTAATTGCAAGCTTAGCATTCAGCTCCTGAATTCTGCTTTTAATACTGGGAAGGGACAACTCCTCTCGTAGATTAGACGTTTTGGCAGTTCTTGGGACTCCAAGAATGATTGTCATGGCTTCATTTTGAATGCTTTCAAGCCTTTTCATATCGCTTTGGGAGTAGGTGCACAGTACTGGTGCGGCATAGTCTATGACGGAGCGCACATAGCCTGTGTACATCATTTTGAGCACGGCAATAGAGGCTCCATGTCCATTCCAGGTCATAGCTTTCAGTGCCCTGAGTCGACTTTTGCATGTTCCTATGAGTTGATTGAGCTCCTCTTTCTTTCCCTTGTTAGAGCCGACAGTGACGCCAAGGTACCGATAGTGGTCAACCCATTCAAGTGTTACACCATTAATTTGCAGTTCTTCATTTGCTCTCCGCTTGTGATGGGAGTATGCCTTCGTCTTGTTTGTGGAGAGAGTGAAACCGAGCTCAATACATTTCCTTCCGAGGAGTTCAATGGACTGTTCAATTTTTCCCAAGGTGGGAGCTTGTATTAGGACATCATCTGCATATCCCACTTGTTGTGTTCCTTCCGGAAAATTAATATTTGCAATGGCGTTCATAAGTACATTGAATAGTGTAGGGCTTAAGACTCCGCCTTGGGGGGTCCCGAGTTCCATATTCATTGTTCTGGAGACTGCTCCATTGAAGCAAACCTTGGCTTTCCTTCCTGTGAGGTAGTCTTCAACCCATTTCATGAGTCTCCCCTTGACACCCATGCATGCAAGCTCGTCCTGTATAGAGGTTACCTCCCTGGGAGGATGACTCATGCAAGATCATCATCAATGAAATGGCAATGAAAAAATCCAACATGATACCACAAGAAATGAGGCACAAGTATCTCGAGGACATTTATAAAGAAGCCGGAGATGAACTAGATCAAATCTACACTGACGGGTCATCTAATCCTATCAATGGCAGGGCTGGTGCAGCATACACGGTAATCAAGGATAATACCTTCCAACGCAGAAATGAAGAAAAAGCACGTATTGAGAACTATGCCTCTTCAACGCAAGCAGAGCTAACTGCCATTGTTATGGCGTTAAGGTTTCTTGAACGGAACACTAATGGTGCAGTGATTTGCACCGATTCAAAAGCAGCACTGCAAAGCCTAAGTAAAAATCAGGCAGAAAATCTTGCAATAGTCGCTGAAATCAAGAGAGCTGTGAGAGTACTTACCAATCAGGGAAGAGTCATCAAGTTTCTGTGGATCCCCTCCCATGTTGGAATATGTGGAAATGAACGAGCAGATGTGCTGGCTGCTGAAGGCGCTGAAGGAGACCATATTGAATACTTCATACCCAAGACTCAACTACAAATTAGAGGTATTATCAGGCAACATCACCGTGACAAGGTAACTGAGGAAAGGAGGATAGAAGCACAAACCAGTGAATCTGTACGATGGTACAACATGGTTGCAGCTGGCAATCCCAATCAGTATGGCCGAAGAGGAGGACGACGAGGGAGAGAATCTGTAATAGCGAGAATCCGTCTTGGATACAAATATCCATGGAGATTTGGAATGGAAACAACAGTTGATCAGCGAAGTTGCAGAATCTGTGGTAAGAGTGATGGACACCGCCTTGACCACTATCTACGTGAATGTGAACACCTGAGAGACATTAGGAATAACTGTAGAATAATAAACCCCACATTGTTTGAGTTAGGAAAACACTATTTGTCAAATATTGATACTGTTCTTAAAAGATTTCCCCATTTTGCACCCGCAAGATAACGTAAGCTTTTAAGGGTTGATAAATGTTAATCTTCTTGTTTGAGGAGCTGTTCACTTGAGACAGTTAAGCAAGTCCCAGCTGTGTCTGGGTACAAGTGACAGGATGAATAACCCAGCGGGTTTTCTTCCTATTGGAGTGTTGTACATTCTGCTATGGCGGTATGTTCACTCACAAGATGAGTGGCGCTGCCCAATAAACTCGCCCCTCGGGGCAAAATTTAAATTTTAAAATGGCTGGGTGAAGCTGGCCTTTCCTCCTCCCTGGATGAAGTAATGTTGAAATCCTACTAAAATCATCTTTAAAATCCTACTAGAAATCACCTAGAATTCCTATTAGAAATCCTACTTGAAATCCTACTAGGAATCCTACTAGAAATCCTATTAGAAATCCTACTTGAAATCCTACTAGGAATCCTACTAGAAATCCTATTAGAAATCCTAGAAGAAATCCTTTTATAAATCCTAATAGAAATCATCGTATAAATCCCACCAGAAATCGCCTAGAAATCCTACTAGAAATCCTACTAGGAATCCCCTAGAAATCCTACTAGAAATACTGTACAGTACTGTTCTGTATTGAACTGTACTGTACTGTAATAAACTGTTCTGTATTTTACTGTACAGTACAGTAGTGTAGTGTACTGTACTGTATTGTACTATAGCGTACTGCATTGTACAGTACTGTACATTACTGTACTATTCTGTACATTATACTGTACTGTATTGCAATCCACTCTACTGTACTGCTCTGCACTGTATTATACTGTACTCCTGTACTCTACGGTATTGTACTGTACAGTGTAGTACAGTACTGTACAGTGCCGTAGAGTACAGTACAGTTAAGTATAGTACATTACAGAACAGTACAGAACCTTACAATACAGTACAGTACCATTTTGTTCAGTACAGTACCATATTGTACTGTACCCTACAGTATAGTTCATTACGGTACTGTACAGTATACAATAGAGTACTGTGCAGGTTTAGAGGGAACAGGTTTAGAACATCCATAGCACCCCTGCAACCCTTATCCCATAGCACCCCTGCACCCATAGGACCCCTGTAACCCCTTATCCCATAGCACCCCTGCACCCATAGCACCCTTATCCCATAGCACCCCTGCACACACACACACACACACACACACACACACACATACAGACAGCACCCCTGCACACACACACACACACACACACACACACACACACACACACACACACACACACACACACACACACACACACACACACACATAGCACCCCTGCACATGCCTGAAAATGAGGACAGGCATGACAGAAAAGTTAAAAACTTTTTTTTTTTAAGAGAAGGGCGAGATCCGACTTATGCTTCTGCCTGGACGATAGGCATAGGATGAAAAAATGTAAATCTAGGTTTAAAGATATTGACATAGGAGAATTTTAAGGTTTATTATAAATACTTCCAATGTAATATTACAGTTTATCAAGCATTGGTATTAACTAAAAAATATGAATTCTGTACCATAATGCAACGGAATCTTGCGTACAATCTAGACAGCAACAGTGAATAAATATATAACACTATGTACATATCTATATTCATTATGATTGCACTTCCAGGCTTTGATGTGAAGTGGAACTGGAAACACTTGAACACACGATATTTTGCATTAATTTAAGATATAAATATTAATATATAGTATTGTACTGCACTTTCTTTATGTTCAAGCAATTGCAGCAACATATGTTGATAAATATTCCTTTACTAAACATTTATGTTCCAATATCATTACAGTACATAGTAATATAGAATTTCTAGAGCAATTTTTATAAACTCTCAGATACCAGCCCAGATTTAATGTTGACAGTAAACAAGTTTTGGTCCAAATCTGCCAACAAAAGTTCATCTCTAATATTATGAGTTTTGTTCTGTACTGTACACTGCTAAAGTAGCAATGGACGAGACTGCAATGAATGTATCACCAATGGTTAATATTAAGACGATCACTATCCATTTTCAGTGAAGTTTCTGCTGCATTCATGGAAAAGCTGACTAGATCCTGATTCTATTTTTATTATAATAAAAAAGTAAATGAAATAAAGAAAAAAAATAACTTTACAAGTACAAGAGCATCATTAGACTATTGTATTCAAATAACTATTATTTGGTGTGCAACCATAGATTAAATATTCACTTTAATTTCACGTGCAGCTGCGCCAACCCATCCTCCTGTTTAGATTGTACTTCAACATGTGGGCCATCATATATCCATAGACATAATTAACAATAAAATTGTAAAATTTTATACTATTCACGTTATAAGAGTCCCAAAAAATAAAGATCAAACCCAAACTTAAATATTCCTAGGCCTAGTATAGCACATATATGTACTATATTAGGCCCAAGATAGCTTGTATTAAGCCTAGAAAGGTACGGTTAGGTTAAGTTTACTTCGAACAACTGAAAAGTTTTTGTATTCACGTTGCAAATTCAATTGTGCCGATTTCTACTTTCTAATTGCCTTTTATGTCAAAATATGTACGATGGTTCTCATCATTACTATAAGTACTACCTAAACAGGTGGATGGGCTGCTTATGCACACTATATCATAAAAGCTTTGGCCTATCTGATACTTTCCATACAAGTTATGCAAAACAGACAGGTATCTAATGATGTGTACAGGTACACTTGAGGTTACTGTAGATATGTATTGCACTGCATTACTCCAGTACATGCACAAAAGTAATGATCATCTCTTATAAATTCAAAATCTTGTTGCATCCCTCTGGGATTTCTGAATTAACTACTTTAAAACAACAGTAAATGTTTATTTTCTGTCCTGTTACAGTAAAAGTAACATGATTATATTTTATATACA